TGTTCAAAAACTGGGCAATCTTCTGTGGTTTTGACCCTATGTTTACAAGAGACCTATGGAGTTATTTCTAGCATTTTCCTGAAGCATCTGCCTTAACACATTCCACTGGAGAGCTTTTTGTACTTTTTTGTTGTTTTGGTTTAAGTTACAGGAGATTATATATTTACTTACCTATGTAGTTCTCAAACTGTGGTAGGTATTTTACAGGCAAACACAATGACATATCCTTGCTTCAAATAATTTATCGTGTAGGCAGTACTATATATAGGCAATATATAGACGGAGGTTCAGAGGGTTATAGGGATATAATTTTTCATTCTTCCCATTTCCCATGTTTTATTGTTGTTTTTATTTTATTCTTTACCTCTAGCTTTTATAACTCTTCTCAGTTATTTCTTATTTTAACGTTAACCTAATGAGCCCCTGCTTAGCTCTCCCTTATGTTCTGAGACCTCAACATTCTTGTCATATTGTATGACCACTTTGATGTGTTCCCTCTCCCTCCATAGACTTCTCTACTGACAATTATCTCCTCCCACTCCCAAATCCCTTATCTCTGGGGAAAATAAATCTTCATAGACATTAAACACTTTTGGTTGATGACAGAAGGCAGTTAAAAGTTTACTGAGTTGGTTGGTAAGTTACCAGGCTGATGAGGCTGTGAAATGATGCTGCTGTTGCCACTGTGATTGATCTGTTGTTTTCATGGGGGAGGAGGGCTGATGCTTTTCTTAGAGATGTCCAGGAAGGATGGAAGTGAGATGAAGCCCCATGGAGATTTATGTAGCTTTTCCCACTGTGGGACTAGCTATGTACTGTTAAAAGTTATGGCAGTAAAGCACTATTATTTTTCTCATCATTTGAATATTCATATTGTTCTTTAAGATAACATCAAGTGGTTAGTCTCCTATAAAACAGAGCTTCATTATCAACTAGTTCCTTCTCCTGATACCCACAACTAGTTTCTTACTGAGGACAGATGCCTCAAAATCTGGTTAGAACAGTTCCTTTACTCATAAATGGTGAATGCAGTATAGGACTGTAAGGGCTGTTCCTCACTCTGGCACTCCAAGGGTCGATGGAGCCATGTAGATTAGGCTGATCGGCAGAGGGAAATGAAGCTACTATTTAAATAATCGCATCTTCATTTAAATGTAAATGGCTGCCGCACTGAGCCAACAAACAGCTGAACAGCTGTTTGTCGGCTCAGCACACTATTCTGGACGCTCCTGCGCCGACCTGAAAGCCCTTTATCGACCTCCCCGTTATGCCTCGTAGGATGAGGTTTACCGGGGAGGTTGATAAAGGGCTTTCATGTTGACAGGGGAGCATCCAGACTGCCCCGATCTGCAGACAAATGGCGGGGCAGCCATTTAAATTTAAATGAAGCTGCGATTATTTAAATCATGGCTTCATTTCCCTTTGCCGAACAAACAAATCTACATGGCTCCGTCGACGGAGACATGTAGTCTAGACGTACCCCAAGTGCAGATGGTGGGAGCCCATAAGAGACCTAAAAAAATACCCTGCCTCTACAGTCTCTGGTAACAAAAACTCCCCCATAGTCACAGATTCACTGACTTTTTGGTTGGGGAAGAGAATAGCTGCCACCATCAAGAGATTTTATTCCTAAAACTGGGGCTGAACACAAGTGATTTTATCCCTGAAACTGTAGCTGAACACTTGAATTCTCCTCCTGGGGTACCTCAAGCTCTTTTTCCCCAAAATAACTTGAAAACAGAAAAGAGAAAAACAAGCTACAGTCTCTAGTAGATGACCTCTTAGGGTGCATCTATACTGCAGTTATTTCAGGATACTGGAGGTATCCAGTACCCTGCATCTACACAAGCCACCCATTATTTTGAAATATTTTTCAAAATAATGGGCATACCATTTCACCATCTCTGTAAACTTCATTGCACAAGGGTTAAGGTATGTCTTGAAATAATGTGTTATTTCAAAATTTGGCACTGTGTAGATAAGCCAAATTTTAAAATAAGCTATTTCAAAATAGTTTTGAAATAAGATGCCAATTTGCATAGCACAAATTGTATGTCGCATTTCAATTTTAGGGTGCTGTTTAGACAAACCCTTAATCTGAGGCATGCAGACATACACAGACAGACTTCCTGTACTTTCCAGGACACAAGAATCAAATCATCACCTTAAAAAGTGATTTTTATTACAAAACAAAAGATATACTTGATAAAGCATACTTGGTTGCTAGATGTACAGAGCAACTAAGGAAAACAAATTAAAACACAGAGAAAATCTCTGGGAACAATTCTTAGATGGTAAAAGGGGAGGAGAGGCATAGATTCAAACAGAGCAGTTCAAACCAAACCACAAAATAAAGAAAAATACTATGATCACAACTAGATTCACTTTCCCTTTACTTATTCCCGATCTTCTCTTGGTTCAGTCTACTTCAATGCCCCAAATTCTTTGAAGACATGGTAGTCCTGTCTGGGTTTAAATTATTCTGTCTCTCTCAACTCCTGGTTTAACTTTCCCAGAAAAGCAGGCAAGGTACCTTACACAATTGAAATGTCAGCACTTTATTCCTGTTGGTTTTCCTGGCTTCCTTCCAACCCCCTTGCTAAATATCTGAGTGTAACCCCTTAGTCACAGGGTGCTGTCCAGCACTCCTCCTATCCATTACAAGGACTCAGATTATATTCAGCATAGACAATCTAGATTTTCTCAGTCCAAAATCCCCTGTGCAAAATACACATTTCTCAGAGCATTGAAACAATTGCTGTGAATCTCCAAAAACCAGAACATTTATTTAAATGTTTAGCTTAGATATCTAAATTAGAATATATTGGGCTTGTCTATTCTACAGTGGGCAATATATTTTTAGCAACGAACAATATCTGAACTGATGTTTGAATAATGTTTTAATGACTCGAAGGTAATTGTCCTTTATTGCACCTGAAACTACATATTGACTATAATTATAACACATTTTAACATAATATTTGTTACGTAACTAACGCGGAAAAATGAAATTCAGTGTCAAGAGACAAAATACTGCTTGGTCTTCTTTACTTCTAATTTTTGTTTTGATGTTTTCAAAGAGTGCCTTATTAACAAATTTGCATGCAAATAACTTTATTCAATATAGGGTCAAAATGAAAGCATTGTAATCATAAGCTATAAAAGTTAATATAAATTGTGATGATTTATAGTACTAAAGAAAGAAATCTGGTATTTTCAGTGGTATTTAGGAACAGCTACTCAACTCACTGGTATCACAATCTACATCTGCATCTAGAATGTCGTATGAGAATGGCACATCTGAAAGACAACTCAAAACTTAGCACCTTAGGTCTGCAAAGTGCCTAGATCTATACTACTACAGGTTGAACCTCTCTAGTCCAGCTCTCTCTGTTCAAGCAACATACACAGTTCAGCATAATTTTAATTAGTTGGTTGTCTGCTTATCATGGGTGTAGCCAAATTTCCCATGGTCCTGTAAAGCTTGTTTACAGCCACAAGTCCTGGCTCTCAGTGTTCTGTTCTGTTATTAAACTCTAAATTGCTCCTAAAGGTCTTCTAAGAGACCAACAAGCAATGGAAGTGCTAGTAATGCTTTATTCACTTATTTCCTTGTGCAAATAGAGTAAAATTGTGCAACAACACTAACGCTTTGCTATGAAGAGGGCTGATAAGCCTTGGCTAGACTTAGGCTTATGCAGGGTATATCAGTACAGTCATACATTATTAAGTAGCATTGCAAGTGCTATTCCATTTATGCACCTTGGTGAAATAAAAATAGAAATCCACACACTACAATATTGACATCCTGGGGCTCAGCAAATTCTCTGGTTAGGCACCAGTCATATCTCGAGGGAGTTGGACTAGAGAGGTTCAAGCTAAACTTTAGTTCTTCTTAAACAGAGGTGAGGAACCTTTTTTGGTTGAGGCCCAATGACCCACATAAAAATCAGTCAGGGGGTCACACAAGTGAGACGCAAACAAAAAATCCCCAAAGCCTTACCAATGTGGCTCCCAACTGAGAAGGAGAAAGACACTCCCCACATTCCCTTCACACACCAGAGCTTAGGGCGGGACAATCTTAGTAGATTTTGTGTGCTGCAGCCCCAGGGTGGGGCAATAGAGGAGAGGGGCTTGAGTGCCAGCACAGTCTTTCCGCTGTAGTGGGGGGAAAAGGCTGAGGCTTGGGGGCAAGATACAGGCAAGCCAGGGGCCCCCGGACCTTAGGTTCCCCATCCCTGTTCTTAAGGAATGAAAATACACATGTCCTGAGTTTCTATTGTTGCTAATGAGTATTTAGAGGTAAAATGATTATTGGCTCAACTTTTCTGAGTATATATTTGACATCCAGTGGTCCCTTTAAACTAGAAGATGTCATAATAAAAAAAATCTTACAAGTCTTTCAGGTGTGGCGTTAGAATTAACTCATTTATGGGATAAATCCTACTGGAGATACATCCACATTGGATTCTTCAATTGGAAAGGTCATACAAAAACATTATTTCCAGAACTGGAAAACCAGATCCTTCCTAGACTTTCCCAATTCCAAGAAAGTTTGAAATTCAGATTCAGATCTAACCTTCACAAGATGGAGTCATTTGTAGTTCTGTGTGCTCTTTGAGATGTTATGTTGACTGCATGTTAAACACCTGATTTCCTATTAAACTATAAATGTTACAGTTGGACAAGAAGCCCATTCATGATGGGCTAATAGCTACATTCATCAAAAACAATTTTTATCCTTGCTAATTCATTTTACATTATCTGTATCACTTAAGAAGCAATTGTATGCAAAAAGATTATCTTTCTTCAATAGGTACAAAAATACTATACCTAAAATGCTATGAACAAATTTGGAAGTTTCATGTTGTTGAAGGATGGGCAACAAAATTACCAGAGAACTATCCGGGACTGTTTGACTGGTTCATATATATATACTGGTTGATATGTATGTGTACAGCTTATGATTCCTGATTTTTCAAACAACTTTTTTTTTCCAGTGGGATGCCATAACTGAAATGGATGAACACAATCGTCCCATTCACACCTACCAAGTATGTAATGTAATGGAACCAAACCAAAACAACTGGCTTCGTACAAATTGGATTTCCCGTGATGCAGCACAGAAAATTTACGTGGAAATGAAATTTACCCTAAGGGACTGCAACAGCATTCCATGGGTATTGGGAACTTGCAAAGAAACTTTTAATCTTTACTACATGGAGTCAGATGAGTCCCATGGAGTTAAATTCAAGCCAAGTCAATACATTAAAATTGATACTGTCGCAGCCGATGAGAGTTTTACCCAAATGGACTTAGGTGACCGTATCCTTAAACTCAACACCGAAGTTCGTGAGGTTGGGCCCATAAACAGGAAAGGATTCTATCTTGCTTTCCAGGACATTGGAGCATGCATTGCTCTGGTCTCTGTCCGCCTTTACTACAAGAAGTGCCCTTTCACAGTTCGTAACTTGGCTATGTTTCCTGATACCATTCCAAGGGTTGATTCTTCCTCTTTGGTGGAGGTACGGGGTTCTTGTGTGAAAAGCGCTGAGGAACGGGATACTCCAAAACTGTATTGTGGTGCAGATGGGGATTGGCTTGTGCCTCTTGGGCGATGCATCTGCAGTGTAGGATATGAGGAAGTGGATGGTTCCTGCCATGGTAAGAAAATAGCACTTTATAAAAGTTAACCGTCTGCAGTTATTTGCATAGCAAATAAAGCATTTGTGTGTTGAAAATATCACACCACATATTTATTAGGAATGCCTTGACTACAGAATACAAGCACAATGTACTTTAGAAGTTATTGTATTGTTGGTGTGTAAAGATAACTTTTAGTTTCTAAGTGACAGCTTTGAAATCATTCATTCAGAATAAACATTTTCAAGTGCTGCATGAATATCAAGTAAAGTAATTAGGTACAAAATATGTGACTGTTGAGCTCAGTCACAGAGAAAAGATTTACTGCAGCATGCACAGAAGTTCAGTGTGAATGTGTAAGTTTAGAAATTTACTCAAATTCTGTTTCATTATAGTAATGAATTATACTGCATAACCTGTATTGGTGCTTCTAGATGTAGATGTGGATTGTGATACCAGTAGGCCTGAACTTTTAGTAAACAAATATCAGTTATCATTTCTTACTTTGAAAAATACTGCATGGTCATCTTCTGCATCTAAACAAGAATAACAGTAAGAAATCTCCAATATCTGTCTGCTGTTTCTTGCTGTCTCCTTGGAAAATATTTGTGCCCAGTGCTTTTCAGCAGTTTTGTGATTTAAAATTTTCCATGAGGATTATTTTCTGTGCTAGTATTATTTAGAATAGATATAATATGTAGGACAGATGTAGTATTGCATTTTGTCAGGGCATGGAAAGGCTTGAATGATTTCTCTGATCAAGTAGCAATTTCTTGAAGATGGCTTCAAAGGGAAAATACTTTTATTTTTTTACTATACCTGACATGCCTTGATTAGAGCAATGAAAAAGAGGAAGTATGAAGAAAAAAGTTCTTCTGTAGCTGTCAAGTATTGTTAATGGAATATATTACTCTTTTTGTCAGACTTTTCCAAAAAGGGGATGCTCATTGGAACTTGCTTGTGATTGAACTTTTTGCTCAGTTGAAAAGTCCATCTGTGACCTCCACCTCAGTAGCCTGATTATTTGATCAATGGAAAATAGACATTCAGATAAAACTCTAGTTTTGGGTAAGATTCCCATTCCTGGGTAAGATTAGAAATTTTTGTGAGGGTGGGATGCATCCCTTCTAAAACTGGAAAATTTGGTCATGTAGTTCTAGAACTTTTCAACCCTGTGCATGTGTGGACAGACTGCTCTTTGTACCTGTCAAATATATCTGTTTTTTGGTACAGCAATGCAGGTTATAGCACCCAAGATGTGAAGCTGTCAGGTTTCTTAACAGGTTTCCTCATGGTAATGATTGTTGCATGCCCATCCATCAAAAGACATTTTGAAAAGACTTTGAGATCTATAGTTGACATTTCTTCTGGTAAAAAAAAAAATTGTATCCCTAGTGCAACTACATTTATACCAGAGATTAATTTGACCCTGATGTCTGCACACAATATTCATGCCAGTAATGACTTTCCAGCAGTGTGGAAGGATGCCATTTACTTCAACTAGAGATATAGGCAATTGCTTCTGTTTTTCTTGCGGAATGTCCTGGAAGTTAATAGGTTGACCAGCTTCATAAGCAATCAAGCTCTACATAACACCATATATGCTTTTGATGTTCTTTTATTCTCTTTTCTGTAACAACTGCATATATGTTTATGAATGTGGTGGCTCTCTTCCTGAACAGTTGGTTGTAGAGGGCATGCCACTATGTAAAATCACTTGCCTCTGCACAGAAGTCTCTGCCTCCTTTAATTTAGTGTCTGGCTTGTAAGAAGGAGGGAGAAAAGCCAAAGACTTGCATAAAGTAACGGAACATTGCTATTTGTGATGGACAATAGTATAGAAATAGTAGATATATATAAATAGTTTGGAGCATATGAGAATATTAGCACTGGAGCATTAATAACAATCCATGTTCTACCATCAGAAAGTGGAGCTCACTTTCTCCATTGTTCTCCGGATAAAAATTTAGCAATGTCTCCTGAAACTTATCCATCCCTAAAGATACCATTCTGGGCAACTCTGTCACTGGAAATGACAAATGTATTATACAAATGTATTAAGTGTATTATTAATTAACATACAATCAAGATGTTAATGATTTTTTTCATATGGGATTTCACGTTACCTCTGACTGACTAATAGGGTAAGAATTTAACAACAAAAGCAGTTAACACATTGTGAATGCCATTGCATCATGACAGCCATACTATAGGACTATGTATGAGCAATGCTACCTTCACCCTAAACCAGGGGTGTCCAAACTTTTTTCAAAGAGGGCCAGATTTGATGAAGTGAACATGCGTGAGGGCCGACCATTTTGCCTGACATTCTTTGAACCATTAAAATTAAATGCAAATTAACTATTTTATGCAAAGTTTATTGCAAACGGCAAACGACATAACACCAACTATACATGTTGTGTCCAAATATATTTATAACTGATTTAGACATTAACTGAGATTTTACAATGTAGTCATCTCAATATGTTGTGTCCAAATATATTTATAACTGATTTAGACCAACTGACTTTAACTGAGATTTTACAATGTATTCATCTCAATACATATGGATTCGTTGGGGGCCATAAAAGATAGATATTGCCAAATTACCTGGGGGGCCGTATTAAACCAGAACACGGGCCGCAATTGGCCCGCGGGCCGGACTTTGGACATGACTGCCCTAAACTAAGAATCTTCACAGTCACAGCAGTTTTATTTGTTAATTTAGTAAGAGAATTATGAACAGTGTTAAATAACCACGTCTGAGATGGAAGCATAATGAACTGTAGGAGTGCCTAAAAGTTTAATAGAGTTTTTTTTATATTTTATTGCTCAGAGAGTGACAAGCTATCATTTAAACAGATTGTGTTCTAAGATAACTGCCGTGGGATTTCTCTCTTTTTGGTTTGCTGTGGAAATACAGATAATTTTCAGAGGTTGCTGATATTTCCAGCCATACGTCCATCTTGAGTCTTATACAGATTGAACCTCTCTGGTCCGGCACTCTCTGGTCCAGCAACATCTGCAGACCAGATATCCACTTATCGTGACTGTGATAACTGTGGTGGCAAGGTCTCCCATGGTCGTATGAAGTTTGTTTACAGCTGCCAGTCCTGGCTCTCAGTGTTCTGTGCTGTTATTTAGCTCTAATTTACCTAAGGCTTGGCCTACACTAGGGAGTTATTTCAAAATAATTCCCCTTATTTTGAAATAATAAGTGGAGCATCCACACTATCAAGCCTGTTATTTCGAAATAACAAGCTGGTTATTTCAAAATCTGTATTCCTGCTTTCCTTGGGGAATAAGCTTATTTCAAAATAGTTATTTTGGGAGTTATTATTTTAAATTTAATTATTTCAAAATAATTTTCTAGTGTAGAAATGCCCTGAATGTCTTCTAGGGACCCAGTAAGCAGTGGCAGTGTTGGTAATGCTATTAGACAATATTGACCTCTCATGGTTCAGCAATTCTCTGGTTTAACACCAGTCAGGTCCTGAAGACGCTGAACTAGAGTGGTTAATCACTTGCAAAGCAGACACCTTTTTATTCTTTTCCAAATAAATTAAACAGCTTATTGAATGTAATTTATTTATATGAGCTGACATCAAAAGCTTTCAGTTTCTCTATTTTTCTACACAAATATTTTCAGAAAAGCTCTGATTGTTTTTCAGTGTAAAATACACATTACTAATATGCTGTCTGTCATATAGAGTACCATGGTATCTGTGAAGCAGAGACGGAGGGAGAGGAGAGATTTGAATCCGAACCTAAATTTTGTGGAAGTGTCACTGCAATTCAGTGCTTCCAATTAATTCCATCTTTTGATTGGCACCTCTTCTAAAAGACTGCATTTTAATACATTCTAGCAACATAATGGAGAAATAACACAGGAACTATGTGTTTTGTGGATAATAGTCAGTGTGGAAAAGCAATTATTATTGACTTGACAAAGCTTTTGAATATGGTTAACTACAGATAACTCTTGGCAAGCTGCAGAAAATTGTATTTGACCTTATTTAACTCAAGTGCTGTATGGATTATTTTATCTAAATAAAAACAGATATACAGTGAAACATAATTCACATTATTAGCACTTGTGTAATATATTATGCATCAGTGGTGAGGCTTTTATGTTTACATTGTTTTTATTTTTCATTTTCAAAATGCCAATGTGCCCAACATTTTTCCATGCAGAATCTTTTTTATATGAACACATATTTTAGATTCCCCACTAGAAGACAATGCATAGCTCATGTTTTTACCAGATTACAAACTGATTTTTACTCTTCCTCTGTTATAGAAAATATTTTGCTTGCTTTGACAAAAGAAATTTGCTTGGGTCAGTTAGAGCAAAGAAAATAAAACCATAGAGGACATAACAGAATTAGTTCAATTTGTTCCTCTTCGAGCATCTATTAAATATTAAAGAAATATTTAAGAAGATATTGAAAAGATCAATTGAACCCCATGATTTGTATAACAAATCTGCAGATGTATGATGTTGTGTCCAAGTAAAGTAGTGACTTTTTTAAAAAATAGAGTACTTCTGTGCTTTTTGTGTGTATGTAAGGTCATACTGGGAAGCTGTAAAAACATTTTTCTCTCTTATCTATTCAGCTTTTCTAGTTTTTTACCAAGCTGACATCTTCTTTTCATATTCAGTACTTTAAAGTTGAAGGAATTTTTAAAGTCTGTTGCTGAAATGATTTGCTTCATACTAAAGAAAAATGACTGTAGTGAAATCATTACTTGTTTTCTACAACTACCTGCATTAACAGTCTGCAAGATCTCAGCCCTTCAAGTTTTCGTATCTTCCTCCATGTTAACTCACAGCATAATTGGCAGCCACTCACCCGCCTGACATATTTCCAGCCACCTGCACACCTGTTCAGCTATGTAAATCAATGCAATCAACTTGATAAAGCAGCTGGAAAGGAAAGTTCCTTCAGAATTTAGCTTTTTTTTTTTTTCTTCCAAATATGAGGAATGTTCATTGATTGCTTTTTTTTTTCCAAATATGA